CGTCACAGGGTTACACCTTCAGCCTTGGCTCAGGTTCTGTCTCGTGGCGGTCCACCCGCTCTTCCTCTGTTCTCGGCTCTAGTTGTGAGGCTGAGATCTACGCCACAGCCATGGCTGCACAGGAGTTACGCTGGCTCACCTACCTGCTGACTGACTTGGGAGAGCGGCCTAGTTCTCCTCCAGTTCTGTACGGTGACAACAAGGCGGCTCTTGCCTTGTGTCAGGAGCACAGACTGGAGCACAGGACGAAGCACATTGCTCTTCGCTACTTTCTTGCTCGAGAGCTTCAGCAGCGCGGTCAGCTTCGGCTTGTGTACGTGGACTCGAAGGCCAACACTGCTGATATCTTCACCAAGGCGCTCCCGCCTAGTGATCATCAGCGGCACTGTACTTCTTTAGGCCTTGTGTCCACGTTTCCTCACTTGCTCACTGCTTGACATTCTTTGTACTGTACTTTATATATATCTTGTTGCTTACTTGCTAGGTTTTGATCACTGTGTTGCTTGTCTTGTACTATATCTAGCACTGCATGTGAACTGGCCTTGTGGCCTTTACTTGTGCTCGGAGTGTGGTGACGTTGTGATCCACCCTGGGCTTTGTTTTGCTTTGCTGGACTGGTCTTGTGACCCTTTGTTCTCCCCCACTTTGCCTATGGGGGTGTGTTAAACTGTATTATGCTTGTAGGCTGTAGTGGGGTAGCCAATATGGGGTACAACCCCAACTAGGGTTTCATATTTGTACCCAAACTTCTGTTAGTTCATTCATTCTTGCCTAGTGATTCTGACACCATTTCCCGGTAAGAATGGTCTTGTTTCGCGCTACACCGATGGGAACGACTTTCCAGGTGTTGCGTTCCTCTAATGCCTTCAGCTCCTTGTCCATGGCTTCGCGCCATTTTTCCTTATGCTCCCCCCCCAGAGCCTGTTGAACTGTCGCAGGCTCCTTAGGAATGTTGACGCCGTGGACCGCGGTGACGAGACCAAGGATTTGGAGTCCGCTCTGTGTGTAGCGGGGGAGTGTGGTGTCCTCGGGATAGACTGCTTCGTCTCCAGTTTCTGGATCGGGTGCGAAGTTGGGCCCTATGCGTTCTGCTTCGTTGGTGTTGACTTCAGCAGGTGTAACGTAACCGTTGTCGGCGAAGTGGTAGTAAGTTTCGGCGTTGACGCTTTCGCGAGGGTTTTCTTCGTCCATCGGTACGTCCACTGAGCAGTAGGGAAGAGGTCCGGCTTCTTCCGAGGCTCCTTCCACATTCTGCTCGTCCCAGTCAGCTTCGTCTTCTGTCGAAGCGAAGGCTCGATCGCCACGGAAGCCGCCTGTGGGGTCTCGATTTTCGTCCAGGTTGGCAAGGTACGTTGGCAGTGTGAGTCGTTCGTAGAAAATCACGTCACGTGCTGCTACTGTTTCTTTGCTGTTGATATCGAAGATCTTCCATGCGTTGTAATGTTTTTCGATGCCCAGGTGTAGTCCCCACTGTGCGCGTTGGGAGAATCGGCCGGCTCGTGCAGATGGGGGTCGGTACTGTACCATGCAGCCGAAGACTCGTAACATTTTTGTGCTGCCCAGTTTTCCTGTCCACAGCAGATGCGGTGATGTGTTGTTCGGGAGTGACGACGAAGAAAGCAAGTTGTGCAGCATCACGGCGTGGTCCATTGCTTCGGGCCACTGGTGGTTGGGTAGCCGCATGCCACGTAACAGTTTGCGCATGGTGTTCTGCAGAGTCCTGTTCATCCTTTCTGCTACACCCTGCTGTTGATGGGCGTAGGGAAGGGAGATGAGTCTCTTGATTCCCTTCTCCGCCAGGTACTGCTTGAATCGCTGTGACGAGTATTCTCCTCCTCCGTCTGATTGGAAGCTTTTGAGTTTAGCTCCCGATTCCCGTTCTGCTGCTGGAAGCCATGCCACGAAAGCCTCGAAAGCCATGTCGCGACTTGGTAAGTTTAGGTGCCAGACGTAGCGTGTAGCGGCGTCGATGAAGGTGATGGTGTAGTTATACGCGTTTTGTCCGGGTTCGCGGTTGTACAAGATGTCGCTGTATACTTTCTCGAGTGGTGCATATGCAGGTGCGCTTGGGTTGTGATGCGAAACGAAGGGCTGATGCGGTAAGTCAGCTTCGGGGCAGGTGAAGCATGTTCCTCGAGCTCGCTGAAGTTCTCTGCCGTCTGTTAAAAGCAGAGAGTCCTTGTCGAGTACTCCTGCTCGAATTGTGTTGTTTAACACAGTGTTGCTTGGATGTCCCATTCTTGCGTGCCAGATTTCTTCGTTGGCGCGATGACCGGGTGAGCGCTGATACATGTCGGAGTTGGAGTAGAGACCGGTGGTGAAGTTGGGACTGTGATGAAATTCTCGTGGTGCTGGCTGAAGCTGTTGTGCAGGTGTTGGTGGTGCATCGTCGTTGAAGAGCGCCGTCGTTGAAGGACCGGCGACTGGTGTCGTCGTTGTCGCTGTTGCTGTTGTTGTCTCTGCTGCTGCCGACGTTGTCTCTGCTGCTGCCGACGTTGTCTCTGCTGCTGCCGATTGTTGAATCGCTGCTAATGCTCTTGTTCTCTCTGTTTCAGGAATGGTATGTGAATACCAGAAGCCGCCTGGACTGAAGTCGGGGTCAAGATCCGGAGGGTGTGTCCAGTTGGTAAAGTTGACTATGGCGTCACTGTCAGCGGTGCCGAGATCAGGAACGAAGTCCAAGACGAAGACGTTGTTTTTAAGGATTGCCTTCCCGATGTAAAGACCTCCTCTCCCGTGGTACAGCTTGAATTCTTGGGTAGTGCTGTCTGCTTCGAGGTGGATGCCTTTCGCCATCAACTGACTCACACTGAGAAGGTTGTATCCGAGGCCTTCTGCGATTAAAACTTTGGACATTTGCAGAATGACGTTTGTCTCCCGTGACTGAAGTTGTACAATTCCTTGTCGTCGTGTGTACAGGTTTTGATTATTGGCGACGGTGATGACGACCTCTCGTTGAAGCTGATACTCTCTCTGTACGAAGCGTCCCGAAGAACACATGTGTTGTCCGCAGCAACTGTCCAAGAACCACGTGTCTTTTCCGGATGGCTCGTTTTGGGCGATGGCAGCGTATGTCGGATTTGGTTGAAGTGCTTCGCGACGAGGTGTGGTGTTGTCGAGTTGTTCTTCCGGTGAGTAATGAGGTGGTGAATCCATGACGCAAGAGTCACTTAGTCTTGCCATGCAGCTAACGATGTTTCTTGCTCCTTGCGCAGGTTGTCCCGTTGAGGTTGTTGAAGCTTGGATCTGGGTCGTTGGATTTGCTTGCGTTGACGCAATTTGACTGCTTGAAGGTCGAAGGTGTCGTTGCGGGGTCGTTGACTGTTGACGATTCGGGCAGTGCGTGCGCGGGTGCCCTGAAGTCTTGCAGATGTGACAGAAGGGAGGTACTGGCTTCGGCTGTTGTTGTCTGTTGCTGTAGTTGTTGTGTCGTCGTTGGGTGTGAAATGCGAACTCTGACGTTGTCGTCTTCTTCCTGTGTCGTTCTTCTTGCAGATCCATGTCCTGCTGTTCGGCGTGGATTTCGGCGCAGAGTGCTGCCTCAGAAATTCGTCCGTGGGCTCGGAGGATGGCCTTTGTTGCGCGCCACTGAGGGCCGAGGCCACCGATGATGACCGTCACGAAGGCGTCCTCAGAGATTGATCCTCCACATCGAAGAAGCTTGTCGCGCAGTTCGCGACATCGACTGATATATGCCATTCCTTTCTCTCCTGGTTTCATCTCAACTGTTGTCAGCTGCGCCATTAACCTGCTCTGGTTTACACTGTCTGTTGCTTGATACAGGCTCTTCAGATGGTTGTACGCGAGCTCCGCCGAGTTGCCGAAGGCCCGGTAGGACCGAATGTTCTGCTGTTGGGTTGGTGTTAAGTTCCTCAGTAGGATCGTATACGCCATCATCGATTGATATGTGTACTGCTGCTTCTCATACTGTGTGCCGTTTGCTGGATATTGCAGGGACCCGTCGAAGAAGCCAAGTATCTGCGCGCCCTCCATCATCAACTCGAACTCAAAGGACCAGGTGAAGAAGTCCTTTCCGTCGAATGGTCTTGACGTCTGAAGCTTCAAAACGTGTGCGAATTGCGACTGTACTTGTAACGCGTCCAGTGATTTGTCTTGTGCAGGCGAAGACTGCGGCATGAAGCTGATTGACCCGCGTTCGTACGGGGCGAAGGTAGGTTGCTGCTGTTGATTTCCGCGCGCGTATGACGACCCATCAAGGCTCATGGGTGTCACTCCGTTGTTGCTGTTGTGTGTCTGTGCAGGTCCCGACTGCTGGTGCTGCTCGTAGAAGGACATGAAGGAGAAAAACTTCTCCATCATGCTCTGGTCAAAGCCCGTGGGGCGATTTGTGAGAGTCTCGGTGGACGTTCCCCTAGGTCTTGTTGCTGTGCCTTCCTCTGTCTGCAGGCCAGAGGCAGGAGGTGGTGTAGGAGTAGTCCCCGGGGAGCCATTAGAAGAGCTCCTCTCCTTGTTTGTTGCCATGTCTTGTAATGTCTTTGAATTGAAAAGGTAGAATTTCCCCTGACCGCTCTCATACCATGTTGGGCTGAGATAGCCCCTTAGGATCTTTTCAGGGGAGAACTCTGGGTAGGACAATTGTAATAGCGGAAGCTTTTAGTGAAGTAATTGTGAACCACCTTGCGCTAGTATGTGAGGGCAAAGTAGATTAATTATAACAGGAAAGTACAAGAATATATAGTGGTGTAAGGAATGTCAAAGGATACGGTTATAACTACTTTTACTGTTGCTGTTGCGGTTCGATACAGTACGACTCGGGCAACTGTTCTGTAACGAGTCAGTTGTATGTCCTTAACTGTCGCGCTGTACTTGTCGGGTCAAAGGTCAGCGACCTTTGACCTTCGCGTAACCTCCAGCAACCTCTTCAACCCCCGAGGGTTGACTCGCGGGTGCTTCGGTGTAGTTTGCCTCGCTTCTGATGCGGTGTTTTCGACACGACTGAAGCGCTTAGGTCTTATTGTTTCCAACAACAAACACCAATATCATGCCATTTGGCGAATCAGCTCATTGATCTCAACTCCTCTGTTCCCAGCCTCTCCTCCCTTGTTAAACCAACCTGCCTTGCTGAACTTGCCCCTGGGGGCTGCAAGGCGGAACGGCCAAAGAAAGCCAGTCACTTGCAGGAAGTGCGGCCCCACTGTAGCGATCTCGTGAATCAAATCCTCGATACAGATGATTCCCGTGCTACCCAGGGCCTGCAGGGAGCGAGGCAACGAGCAAGGGGCGTGAGGCAAAGCAGCAGAGGAGTGTGAGAATATGAAGGCGGCAAAAAGAAGCACCAGCACAGGGTTTAAAGCCCACGTGTTCAACAATAGCGTTGTCAGTGAGAGGCACTCGCCGCCATCCCTTCGCCTCCTCCTCTGGATTTACTGGCCCCGTCCATCCCACCATCGCCTCCGGCTTCTTGGGTACTACTGTCATTGCCCCACTCCCCCCTGCCCCTTGTGCTGCTCCCCCTTTCCTTGGTTTGCTCTCTTTGGTCTCGCCCTCCCCTCCCTCCTCCCCCTCGTCTTCCTCGTCACCCTCCTCCTCCTCGTCCCCTCCCTCCTCCCCCTCCTCCCCCTCGTCCCCCTCGTCCACCTCGTCCTGGTGCCGTATGCGCGCCACGCCTCGTTTGATGATGAGGGCGCGCACGGAGGACAGGTCGGGGAACCTGGGGGGTGGGGGGCGTGCGTGGGGATGACGTGGGAACGACGGTGAGGGGAAGAGCGAGGGAGTGAGCGCAGGAGGGGAGTTGAGAGAGAAAAAAGAGAGAGTCATGAGAGGGTGTGAAGCGTGCAAGAATTGCGGTTGGTACATGGAAGAGAGCATGGAAGAGAGCATGGAAGAGAGCATGGAAGAGAGCATGGAAGAGAGCATGGAAGAGAGAGAGAGAGGAGAGAGAAAGGGCGGGAGAGAGGGAGCAAAACAGGGAGAGATGGAAGTGGGGAGGGAGAGAGGCAGGGAGGGAGGGAGAAAGGAAGGGGGAGAGAGGAGGGAGGGAGTGAGTGAGTGAGTGAGTGAGTGAGGGAGGGAGGGAGAGAGGGAGAGAGGGAGGGAGGTAGGGGTTCAGAGAGGGAGGGAGGGAGGGAGGGATGAACGGAAGGAGAGAAGTTGGGGAGAGAGAGGGAGGGAGGGAGGGAGGGAGGGAGAGGAATGGAGAGAAGAGAGAGAGAGGAGAGAGAGAGAGAGAGAGAGAGAGAGAGAGAGAGAGAGAGAGAGAGAGAGAGAGAGAGAGAGAGAGAGAGAGGAGAGAGGAGGAGGGAGCGAGGGCGCACCCAAAGGTGACATAGGGCTCGACGAGTTGCAGCATTTGTGCCGTGCGGTCCGTGGCTCGCAGGAAGACTCCTGAGTTGAGCTGCGGCCAGATGTGAGTGAGGGGGATAGAGAGAGAAAGAGAGAGGGAGGTGTGCAGGGGGAGACGTGCGCAGATAACGAGGAGGGGAGGGAAGGAGGGGACGGAACGAGTGGACGGCACGGCAATTAGGGCGCGTGTGCAGGGGAATGCCATGGGCACTCAACAGGGGAATGCCATGGGCACTCAACAGGGGAATGCCATGGGCACTCAACAGGGGAATGCCATGGGCACTCAACAGGGGAATGCCATGGGCACTCAACAGGGGAATGCCATGGGCACTCAACAGGGGAATGCCATGGGCACTCAACAGGGGAATGCCATGGGCACTCAACAGGGGAATGCCATGGGCACTCAACAGGGGAATGCCATGGGCACTCAACAGGGGAATGCCATGGGCACTCAACAGGGGAATGCCATGGGCACTCAACAGGGGAATGCCATGGGCACTCAACAGGGGAATGCCATGGGCACTCAACAGGGGAATGCCATGGGCACTCAACAGGGGAATGCCATGGGCACTCAACAGGGGAATGCCATGGGCACTCAACAGGGGAATGCCATGGGCACTCAACAGGGGAATGCCATGGGCACTCAACAGGGGAATGCCATGGGCACTCAACAGGGGAATGCCATGGGCACTCAACAGGGGAATGCCATGGGCACTCAACAGGGGAATGCCATGGGCACTCAACAGGGGAATGCCATGGGCACTCAACAGGGGAATGCCATGGGCACTCAACAGGGGAATGCCATGGGCACTCAACAGGGGAATGCCATGGGCACTCAACAGGGGAATGCCATGGGCACTCAACAGGGGAATGCCATGGGCACTCAACAGCCAATCCGAGGGTCCAGGTATCATCAGCAGCGGCGGCGGCGGCAGGGGCGGCAGCAGCAGCAGCAGCAGCAGCAGCAGCAGCAGGAGCAGCAGAAGTGTGGTTACCTCTGTAAGTCGCAGCATCCTGAGTATACTCCGCGATTGCTTTGTCATTTCGTGCTGCACCCTGCACACACGTGGAGGTGATTGGGTAAACAGAGAGGCAAACAGATACAACTGGGAATCCTTGGGTTGGATAGTAAAGAATGAAAATGTGATGTTTAACATGCAATGGCCATGTTGACGCGGCAATGGCGTGTATGTGTGACAGTGCGCTGTATGATAATGCACTGCAGCCCTCACTCATCCCTACCCTCACCTATTCACTCAACCTCCCTCCTCTCTGTCATTCACCCTCTACTCTTCCCCCCCCCTTTTCTCTCCCTTCAAATCTCCCCTCCCCCCTTTCCCCCCCCACCCACCCCCCCCCTCCCCCGCTCACCCGCGGATCCGCACGGCAAAAAGTAGCTTCAGGTTCGTGCCCGCCAAAACGCCCCCCTTCTCCTCCCCCTTCCCCGCGCTTATCCGCTCCGCCGCTTTCTGCGCCGCCTTCAGCTTCCGCCGCGCCAGCCTCCGCTGCGCCGCGGTCCCCCCTCCCGCCACCACCGGCTTCAGCTGCACCCGCCGCCCCACTAACCGGTCCGCGCGCACGCGCTTAGCATCGCGCTCCTGTTGCGCGGACAGGGGAAGGCGGGCGCGGCAAGGCGGACAGGGGAAGCCAGGGAGGGGAAGGCGGGCAAGGGAAGGCAGGGAGGGGAAGGCGGGCGAAGATTTCGGGAGGAGGACCCGGGGGGGGGGGGGGGGGAAAGAAGCGCAGAAAACGGAAAACGGAAAACCCGGAGGCCCAAAGACTTCAAACCCTGAGATTTGAGCGAGGGACCGACACACAGGCAAAACCCCGAAATCCTCACCAGCCTCTACCGACTGCTCGCGCGTAAAACCCTGAATATGCAGCCCTGAACCCTGACCTCCGACTCTCTCTGCTTCCCCCCTTCCCCCTCTCCTCCCCCCTGTTTTCCCCCTTTTTCCCCACGCCCCTTAACCGCAAGATCATCAGCCCGCCAAGCTAGCCAATAGCAGCGAAGGGGATCAGCCGGCGCGTGCGCAGTCCCTTTACTCCACCCGCGTGATTCGCTTAACGAGCGGAGCGTCGCTGGCCCGACAAATCCGGTCTACTATCCGAATATCAACACGAAATAAAAATCTAAAAGGCGGCACAAACGCTCGCATCGGAAAACTCCACAACGGGACGTGAGAAACAGCCCCCCCGCGCGCACGCACCCTCCGGCGGAACGCGAGCACGAAGTCCTCTGGGCGCTTGAAGCGCTTCTCCGCCTTTCCGCGCTTCCCGCGGTGCGCGTGCTTCTGCAGAAACTGCTCGCGCTTCTCCGCCGCGAATTGCTCGTCCTTCTTCCGCTTCTTCAGCACCGTCTCCGGCACCGTCGGCAGCACGCGCGGCGGCTGTAGCTCCTCCGCGCTCATGGCGCCTGGCGGCGGACTGGGGGGAGAATCGGCGGAAGACTGGCGGAAAACTGGCGGCTGGCGGAAGAAACCAGCGGAAGAATAGCGGCAGAGTTGCAGAAGAAGGGTACGAGAAGACTAATAGGACGAAGGTAATGACGGGCTACGGGATAGAAAGGAGCGGAATGGAAAGGATTGAGAGAAAGGAGAGAAAGGAAGATGGCGCCAAAGCGAGTGGGTGGGGTTTCTGAGGCTCGATATCTGCAGGTCTCTTGTGTTGTGAAAGCAACATTTGTTCACTGCGCAGCAAATCGCCGACGCTAACTAGTAATTTAGCATGTTTCCTCCGACATGCATCATTTAGTAAACAAAAAGCTTCATAACGCATCATTTCGTTACAAAGATGAATTGCACAATAATGGCACAATAGGGAATTATCATTCTTAAAATTCGCTGCCCTACCTAGCCAAGCCATACCATACACACCTAAAACCCAGAATGCACTGAATCGGCTTCCAACCAATGATTCTTCCAACCAACTCTTAGAAGAAGCACCTGCCACACCAATTTCTAGCAGCTTTACAGTGGAATTGTCAAATGTTGTAGCCTATAGTGAGGTTTGTCTTAGGGGGTACAAAACTTAGGGTTAGCTATATGTACCCCAACCAACATCAATGCATCATCCATTCCTCATTCTGACATGGTATCAGTTAGGTTAGGATCCTGTGGGATCCCGTTCCTCCGTTCTCCGTTCGTATCTCCCGAGCCTGATCCTACCTCTCGTTCGTACCGGTTCCGTTGTTACCGCGCCTAGTGCCGAGCCTAGCGCCCTTCCCCCCGTCGCCTAGCGCCCTTTCCCCCCCGTCACGTCGCGCCCTTTCCCCCCGTTGCGTCGCGCCCGTTCCCCCCCGTCGAGTCGCGCCCTTTCCCCCCGTCGCGTCGCGCTCTTTCCCCCCGTCGCGTCGCGCCCTTTCCCACCGTCGCGTCGCGCCCTTTCCCCCCGTCACGTCGCCCTGCCCCGTCCCGTCGCCCTGCCCCGTCCCGTCGCCCTGCCCCGTCCCGTCCCGTCGCCCCGTCCCGTCCCGTCGCCCCTGCCCCGTCCCGTCCCCGTCCCGTCCCGTCGCCCTGCCCCGTCCCGTCCCTGTCCCGTCCCGTCGCCCTGCCCCGTCCCGTCCCGTCGCCCCGTCCCGTCCCGTCGCCCCTGCCCCGTCCCGTCCCCGTCCCGTCCCGTCGCCCTGCCCCTGCCCCGTCCCGTCGCCCCGTCCCGTCGCCCTGCTCCGTCGCGTCGCCCTTCCCCGTCCCGTCGCCCTGCGCTGTCGCGTCGCCCTTCCCCGTCCCGTCTCCTCCTCCTGTCTTGAGTCTTCGGACCCTTGGTCTCCCCTCTCCCTCTCCTTCCTCCTCCCCCTCTCCTCCCGTCTCTGGTCCTTCGCTTCCTCCTCCTGACCCCTCTCCCGCTGTTTTCCCTCGTTCTCAGTCTTCGTTGTCCCCTCCTTCTTCTCAGACTTGGGCCTCTCGTCGCTCCCCTCGTGCTCGTCCCTCGTCTCCTGTTCCCTTCACTGACCTTCGTACTGCCTTACTTCGTTCTAGTCCACCTCGTCCGTCTCCGTCTGTGCTTCCGTCTCCTCCTGAGTCGGCTCTCACTGCGTCGCTCCCTACTCCTGTCACAGACTACTACCGCACGTACCGTCCTCTTCTCTCTCGTGTTCTCGCCTCGCTTGTTACTCACCCTCGTGCCTCTGTGTCCTCTGTGTCCGCTCTTACTGCCGCAGTCACTGACTTTGCCTCTACCCGCCGCCTTGACTTCGCCACCGCTCTTGTGGCTGCTCCTCCTTCCAGTCCTCTGGCCGTCGGGGGTGTGTCTGCCCTTGGCTGTGACGCCCTAGAGGACAGGCAGTTTGAGCTAGAGTTCCTGGCCGCCGCTTCCCCTCATCTCTGTGCCATGCTCCTCGCCCCTGAGGGTGACCCCGACGCCCTTGACATTCCGACTCCTCGCACTTACGCTGAGGCAGTGTCAGGGCCTTGGGCCTCTCAGTGGAGAGCTGCCATGGACGCAGAGATGGCCTTCTACAGATCCACAGGCACCTACGTCGATGAGGTTCCCCCTCCGGGGGCGAACGTAGTCGACGGCATGTGGATCTACAGGGTGAAGCGGCCACCGGGATCTCCTCCGGTCTTCAAGGCGCGCTACGTGGCTAGAGGTTTCAGTCAGCGCGAGGGAGTTGACTTCTTTCAGACCTTCGCGCCCACCCCGAAGATGACCACTCTTCGGGTGTTACTACACGTAGCAGCACAGAGAGACTACGAGTTACACTCTCTCGACTTCTCTACTGCTTTCCTTCAGGGCAGTCTTCACGAGGAGGTCTGGTTGCGTCGTCCCTCTGCCTTCACTGGCTCTTTCCCTCCTGGGACCCAGTGGAGGCTGAGGCGACCGGTTTACGGTCTTCGTCAGGCTCCTCGTGAGTGGCACGACACCCTGCGTTCTACCCTGTCTGACCTTGGGTTCCAGCCGTCTTCTGCTGACCCGTCGCTGTTCGTTCGTCGTGGCCCCACACCTTTCTTTGTTCTGGTCTACGTTGACGACCTTGTTTTCGCCACCCCTGACAGGGTTGCTTTGGCACACGTGAAGTCCGAACTGCAGAAGAGACACACCTGCACTGATCTTGGTGAGCTGCGCCACTACCTTGGCCTGCAGATCACCAGGGACAGAGCTGCTCGCACCATTACACTTTCACAGTCGCACATGGTGCAGCAGGTCCTTCAGCGGTTCGGGCTTCAGCACTCCACAGTACAGCGCACACCTCTTGCTGTTGACCACAGACTCACTGGACCCTTTCCTGACGAGCCGTTCGAGCCTAGTGGTCCCTACGCAGAGCTTGTGGGTTGCCTCATGTACCTGATGACTTGTACTCGCCCGGACCTCGCCTTCCCTCTCAGCGTTCTTGCGCGCTTTGTTGCGCCAGGGAGACACCGTCCTGTTCACTGGACAGCAGCTGTGAGGGTGGCGAAGTACCTAGCGACGACGTCAGGCGTGGGGCTAGTTCTTGGAGGGCAGCAGTCTGTCGTACTTACTGGTCACTGTGACTCCTCTTACGCTGACGACGCTGAGACTCACAGGTCTACTCAGGGGTACTGTTTCAGCCTGGGTTCTGGAGCTGTTTCCTGGCAGACGCGCTCCTCTTCGGTCTCGACCTCTACAGCTGAGGCTGAGATCTACGCTGGTGCCATGGCGGCACAGGAGCTGCGTTGGTTGACCTTCTTGCTCACCGACCTTGGTGAGCGGCCGAGCTCTGCACCGACCTTGTTCACTGACAACAAGGCGTCTATTCTCCTTTGTCGAGAGCCACGACTGGAGAGCAGAGTGAAGCACATTCACGTCAGGTACTTTCTTCTGCGAGAGTTGCAGAGGCGTGGACAGGCTCGCTTTGAGTTTGTGGAGTCCGAGGCCAACACTGCAGACATCTTCACCAAGGCGCTTCCGCCTTGTGACCACCAGAGGTGCTGTGTGCAGTTAGGCCTTGTTGACACTGGTTCTCGTGTTGCTTAGGCTTGAGTGTACTGTTTACTTTGCTTTCTATATACCTCTGTTACTTCTTGGACTGGCCTTGTGGCCACTGTTGTTTGTGCTTAGACTGTGTGGTGACGTTGTGATCCACCCTGAGCTTCGTTTCTTGGACTGGTCTTGTGACCGTACTCGTTTGGTTCTGCTAGACACCCCTCACTTAGGCTATGGGGGTGTGTCAAATGTTGTAGCCTATAGTGAGGTTTGTCTTAGGGGGTACAAAACTTAGGGTTAGCTATATGTACCCCAACCAACATCAATGCATCATCCATTCCTCATTCTGACAGGAATTAACAGCTGCAGCAGCAGCTGCTGGTGCATGTGCCTTCATGTATCACCCTCCAAGCTTGCTTCCCCAACCCACCCCTCACCCCTGCAAGGCTTAGATTCTCTTACCGCACTTCCAACACCCCCCATCACACTAGGTATTCCAAATGGGATAGCTCCAGCATTTAGGTATTCCAAATGGGATCCCCATCTCTGTATCCCCCCTTCCGTGTCAGCGCCCCTCACACCACTGCACTCCCACCTCTGCATCCCCCTTCTCCTCTCTGTTGGCACCTCTCACACCATTCCCATCAGCAGACACCCCTCCTCTTCTCCCCCTCCTCCCCTCTCTCTCCTCCCCCCCGTCACGCCTTCTCGAGCAGTTTGAATATCTCGGTTGAATTTGCAGCAACAAGCGTCTGGGACCCCGCCTGCCAGCACACACTCCACACAAACTGCCCCCGCATTCTCCTCCCTGTCTCTGCCCGTCACACCATTCCCAGCAAAGCCCCCCCTTCTTCCTCCCTGTTAGCGCCTCTCACACCATCTCGAGCAGTTTGATGTTGCCGGTGGAGTTGGCAGCCACGAGTGTCTGCGAGTCCCCCCGCCAGCACACACTCGACACAAACTGCCCCGCGTCCTCCTCCGTGTCGGCGCCTGTGACCGGGTCCACCCCGCCAAAGCGGTGTGCTGCCATGGGCATGGGTAGCGACTTGTGGAAGGCAAACACCTGGTGTGAGGGAGGTTCGGGGGAGGGGAGAGGGGGAGGGTTATTGGGCATTGAAAACAAGCTGTGCAGTGCAAACGCCTGGGGTTAAGGGAGGGGCACACGCTCGACACAAACCGCCCCGCATCCTCCTCCGTGTCGGCGCCTGTCACCGGGTCCACCCTGCCAAAGCGGTGTGGTGCCATGGGCATGGGTAGCGACTTATGAAAGGCAAACACCTGCGGGAGGGGAGGGAGGGAGGGAGGGAGGGAGGGGCACACGCTCAGCACAAACTGCCCCGCATCCTCATCCACCTCCTCCGTGTCTGCGCCTGTGACCGGGTCCACCCCGCCAAAGCGGTGTGCTGCCATGGGCATGGGTAGCGACTTGTGGAAGGCAAACACCTGGTGCGAGTGATGGTAGAGAGAGAGCGGGGAGGGAGAGAGCGTTAGGCAAGCATCAGCAGCGATTCCTACACAACATCTCATGTGACAGGTTGTAGTGAAAGGAGGATTTGGGAGGAAAGGGGAGGGGGGGGTTTGACAGGTTGAAAATGACCATGAGTGCTGCTGGGTGGTGAGAGGGAGTGGAATTGTTGGGGGACGTGGAAGACGAGCGCTGAAGGGACAGTTGAGAAAGGTAGCAGCTAGTTTTGAGACGTGTAATTATCAAGTTTTGAGTTCTGAGACGTGCCAGTATCAAGTTTAAGTTCTGAGACGTGTCAAAACTGGTGAGGGGGAGTGCGCTTGTAGGTTTGTGGAAAACGAGTGCTGGAGCCACAGTTGATAGGGATAGCAGGGCAGCATGCGTGAAAAGCGGCGGAGGGGGAAAAAGGAGGAGATAGTGTGGCGTGCCGTGTGCGCAAGCGACAGGAATAAATCGTTGATTCCTGTCATGCCTAATGCATCTCTCTCTCTCACACACATACATACGCACGCATACCTCATTGGTTTCGGAGCCGCACGCAATGTAGCCGTCAGCAACCGTGAGCCCCACAAAGTTCTGCCGGGACAGGGAGAGTCGGGTGGGCAGGCACAAACAGGACGTGGACGCTTAGACACGGGCACGAAGAAGAGGTGCGATGGGATGTAATATAAATGCATATCATCTCATGTTCTGATGACGAAACAATGGAAAGTTGAAATTCCAAAGAAAAGCAGAGACTCCCTCACTCACCCCATCCCCCTGCTGCTGACTCCACGCGCTGTTAAAATCCCACAGCCTGGAACCAGCCTTTTGAGTCGACTACACAACAATTAATGAAACATAACCCCACCTTCTCATTCGTGTGGCCGGTGAACGTCCTCGTGCAAGCAGAGGGCCCATCCACCGCACCGCCCGCCTGCTGACTGCACGCTTGGTTGAGGTCCCACAGCTTCAGAGTGTTGTCTGTAGAGGCAGACACAATGGTGGAAGCGTCGACGAATTTCACGTAGCTCACAGCCTTGCTGTGGCCCGTGAGTGTGGCGAGAGGGGTGCGGAGGGAGCGCAGGTCGAAGCAGTGGAGCGAGTAGTCGGCTGAACCGAGGGCGAGGAGGTGCGATGAGTGCGGAGGGAAGGCCACAGAACACACGTTGGCCTTGGTGTAAATCGTGCCCACACTTGTGTCCTGAAAAAGCAGGAGGGAGGAGAGGGGGATAGAAGGAGCGGAGGAGGGGACAAAGGAGGAGAGGGGTGGAAGGGAAGAGGCAAGAGTGTGAATAGGGCAAAGGAATGTGAGAGAGGGAGCGGAGGGAGCGCAGGTCGAAGCAGTGCAGCGAGTAGTCGGCCGAGCCGAGCGCGAGGAGGTGCGAGGAGTGGGGGGGGGAAGGCCACAGAACACACGTTGGCCTTGGTGTGTATTGTGCCCACACTCGTGTCCTAAAGAGGGGAAGCGGAGGGAGAAGGAGTAGAAGAAGGAGAAGGAGAGGGGAGGAGGGGCGCTGAAAAAGGGGGTAGAGGCACAAGTGTGAATAGAGCAGAGGAATGCCAAGAGGGAAGAGTGGAGGGAGCAAGGAAAGAGAGGTTGGCCTCGGTGTGACTCGTGCTGATGCTCGTGTCCTGAGGGGTGGCAGGGGAGATGGGGAAAGGGGGAAATGCAGAAGGAGGAGGGGAGGAGAAGTGGGGAACGGGAGGGAATGGCAGAACTGTGAATAGAGCAGAGGAAAGCACGAATGTGCTTGAAACGAGCATGACTAAGGAGAGGGGAGAGTATCTGAGAAGGTTAGCGAAACAACGCGAACGATAGTACGTGGTCCACAATGATCCTTCGCTTCATGGTCTCAGAATCACAGCTGTTCAACCTAGTCCGATAACTCAGCATGCTCCACTTGAGTCACGCCCCACCTGGTTGATTGATGCTCCACAGCTTCATGCGCTCAGCACCACACTCCTTCAACCTGCTCGGACCAATCAGCACGCCCCACCTGGGTCACACCCCACCTGGTTGAAGCCCCAACTGTTCCAGCTAATCAGCACGCCCCACCTGGTTGAAGCCCCAACTGTTCCAGCCAATCAGCGCGCCCCACCTGGGTCACGCCCCACCTGGTTGATGCTCCACAGCTTGACAGTGCCGTCGTCGCTGCCACTGGCGAGGCGCGTGGGGTCGCAGGGGGAGAAGTCCACACTCCACGCGCGCTTCTCGTGCTCCCCCCACTCCATCACCGCTGCTCCCGTGCCCGCATCCCAAAGCTGGGGTGGTGAGGGGAGGAAACGGATGGAGAAAGGAAGGAGACTATGGGAGGAAACGCATGGAGAAAGGAAGGAGACTATGGGAGGAAACGCATGGAGAAAGGAAGGAGACTATGGGAGGAAACGCATGGAGAAAGGAAGGAGACTATGGGAGGAAACGCATGGAGAAAGGAAGGAGACTATGGGAGGAAACGCATGGAGAAAGGAAGGAGACTATGGGAGGAAACGCATGGAGAAAGGAAGGAGACTATGGGAGGAAACGCATGGAGAAAGGAAGGAGACTATGGGAGGAAACGCATGGAGAAAGGAAGGAGACTATGGGAGGAAACGCATGGAGAAAGGAAGGAGACTATGGGAGGAAACGCATGGAGAAAGGAAGGAGACTATGGGAGGAAACGCATGGAGAAAGGAAGGAGACTATGGGAGGAAACGCATGGAGAAAGGAAGGAGACTATGGGAGGAAACGCATGGAGAAAGGAAGGAGACTATGGGAGGAAACGCATCCCGTGCCCTCCCCACTTCATACGTGTGCTCTATTGACCGCCTATTCTAATGAAGGGCCATTCAAAAGGAAAGGTCAGTCAGCGGATTCACGTGCCTCAAGCAACGCTCCGCACTCGCTTCTCGTGCTCCTCCCAATCCAATACTGCTGCTCCTGTGCCCGCACCCCCCCTCACCCAACCCATCCATTCCAGCTGACACGAGACAGCTTGGCCCAGCACGGCAGCCATGTCCACCACAGGGGTAATGCACGTTCACCCGAATCATGCGCCCATGCTCCAGTTCTCACCTGAATCATGCGCCCATGCTCCAGTTCTCACCTGTACAACCCCGTCATAATCCGCAGATGCCAGCCGGTTCTTGATATATCCGTTCCAGCTCACACAAGAGAGCTTGGCCCGGCACCCCATCTCCACCACGGGATAATGCACGTCCACGCGCCGCCCGGCCAGCACGCTCTCGCACTCAAAGATCCGGATGCGCCGACACACGCCGCCCGTGGCGAAGAACTGCGCGTCGCGGTCGAAGGCGAGGGAGCAGACCATGGAGGCCGAGTTGAGGAGGTGCGCGTGGCGCAGCGTGGCGCGCACCTCAAAGCGCGAGTAGCGTGCGAATTTGCAGAGCGAGTCGAAGAACTCGCCTAGCAGGTCCCTGCTGCCCTCGCCGCCTCCCTGCTGCTGCTCGTGCAGATGCTGCTGCTGCTGCAGATGCTGCTGCTGCTGCAGATGCTGCTGCTGCTGCTGCTGCTGCTGCTGCTCGTGCTGCTGCTGCTGCTGCTGCTGCTGCTGCTGCTGCTGCTGTGGTGCTGCTATCGCTCCATCTGCTCTTCCTGCCGTTGCTGCTGGTGCCCCTGCCCCACCCCTGCTGCTTCTGCTTCTGCTGCTGCTGCCACTGCTGCAGCACCTCCTGCACCAACTTCAGTCTGCTCTGCCTGTGCCTCTGCCTCTGCGTCTGCCTCTGCCTCTGCCTCTGCGTCTGCGGCTGCGTCTGCGTCTGCCTCTGCAACCCTGCCTTGGCCTCTTGTGTCCTCTCCTCCCCTGTCCGCTACCTCTCCTTGCCTTACCACATCCTGACTGGACTCATTATCCCCACCAGCATCAACACCATCACCCCCACCACCACCGTCACCACCACCACCAATGCCAGCACTACTGCCACCGTCACCCCGACCACCACCACCAACACCGGCGCCAGCAGCAGCACGCGGGGCAGCAAGAGGCACAGCAGCATCATTCCCAGGAAGAGCAGCTGCAGCGGCAGCAGAGGCGGTGGCAGCACCGCCCCCCCTCTCCTGCGCTCCCCCATTGGCTGCCTCTACTCGCCAGCGCATGGCAAAGTACACCTCTTCCAACCGGTCAAGGTTACGCAGTAGCCGCACGCTCCTCCTCGGCCCCCGCGGCCGTCCCATGCCGAACGGAGCAGGTGCAGCTGCAGTGACAGCACCAGCAACACCAGCAGCAGCAACACCAGCAGCAGCAACACTACCAGTACCACGAGTACCAGCAGCAGCAGCAGCGGCAGCAGCAGAAGCAGTGAAAGAAGGAAGATGTCTTGACCCTCCTTGTGCCTCCTCCACTTCTGCGCTCGCCCATCTCCCACCACCCACCTCTCGCCCTCCCCCACCCATGCTCACCACTCCACTCATGTCAGCAGCAGCAGCATGAGAGGCTGCGATGAGTCCAGGGCGAGGGGAGCGAGGGGAAAAGGCACCCCACAGGTCCGTCTCTGCCCCTCCGCTCATGTCACTTCCGCCCTCTCTACCACCACCCTCCCACCCAGTCTCCCTGCCGCCCCCTCTGCCACCTTCCCTGTCCTCTACTGTCTGTGCTGACGGGGCCGGAAGCATAAGCGGCTGAAACTGCCCCTGCTGCCCCGATACATGCACGTGCCCCTGCCGCCCATGCCCCTGCCGCCCATGCCCCCGCCGCCCGGGCACCTGCTGGCCGCCCATCACCGCCGCCCGCCTGCGGTGCACCTCGTGAATGTCTCCAGTGAGCCGCCCGAGATCGAGGGCGAGTTTCTGGGCGGCAGACTGCTTGGCAAGGTGGATTCGCGAGAGGAAGGCCAGCAGCACGTCGCACTCCGCCTCCTGTGCTTCTAGTCCCGCTTGCTGCCCCCTGTGTGTGAACATGCTCGCTACATCTGCTAATAGTTGACTGCTCCGCACCTCCCTGCGTAAGTTGGGGGAAATAGGTGGGGAGAGACAGATGGGGAAGAGGGAAGGAGACAGTGTTCAGTAATGAATGGAGAGGAAGGCCAGCAGCACATCATTCTCTGCCTCCGGTGCTTCTACTCCTACTTGCTGTCCCTTGTGTGCGAACATGCTCGCTACATCTGCTAATAACTGGCTGCTTCACACCTCGCTGCATGGGTGACGGGAGAACACAAGAGGTGGGGCGGATGGTACGAGACAGTGTTTAGAGAGAGCGCCCAGGAAGGCCAGCAGCACATGGCATTCCGCCTCCTGTGCTTCTAGCCCCGCCTGCTGCCCCCTGTGGGTGAACATGCTCGCCACGTCTGCCAGCAGCTGACTGATGCGTACTTCCCTGCAAGGGTAGGGACAGGCGGGGGGAACAGGTGGGGGGAACAGGTGGGGGGAACAGGTGGGGGGAACAGGTGGGGGGAACAGGTGGGGGGAACAGGTGCGGGGAACAGGTGGGGGCAACATGAGTTTAAAAGGGGGCGTCAAGGGGGGAAGGGCGTCAACGGGGAGGGGCGTCAAGGGGTGGGGGCACGGCACGGGGTGAGGGAGATGAAGGAGCAGGGGCGGGTGAGGCGCGGAGTGGGGGAGGCGAGTGTGGGGGGCAGGGCACGGGGTGGGGGGATGCAAAGGTGCTTACGAAGCAGTGGGGCGCGCGGCGTGCTGGGGGTGCAGCAGGCAGAGGCACAAGGCAGGCTCCTTGGGGCGATGGGCGAGAGGTGGCAGCAGAGGGTGAGGCGAGGGTCAAAGAGTGGGGGGGATCAAGGATCTGGGAAGGTTAGAGTGCTTACGATGCAGTGGGACGGGCAGAGGGCTGCGGGTGCAGCAGCCAGAGACAGAAGGCGGCCTCCTTGGGGCGATGGGAGAGCAGGCGCGGCGGCAATATGCGATGGCAGAGGTCGCCCATTATCATGCTCCTCTCTGTGGCGCTGGTGAAGGGGCAGAAGAGCTGGTGGGGGGGAGGAGGGGTTGAAGGCAGGAGAGGAAAGAAGGGCACATGGGGAGAGGAGAGGGCGGAGAGACAGAGAGTGAGGCGAGAAGGATGCGATGGCAGAGGCCTCCCATCATCATGCCTCTCTCCGTGGCAGTGGTGAAGGGGCAGAAGAGCTGGGGGGAGGGGGGAGGGGATATCAGGGGGGAGGAAATAAGAGGGACAGATGGGAAGAGGAATGGGCAGAGAGTGAGCGGGACGCAAGGAGAATGTGATGGCAGAGGTGGGCTGCTGCGCTCTGTTCTGTTGCATTGGAGAAAGGGCAGAGAAGCTGTGAGCTGTGACTGACAGACAGAAGGCTCACCTCAAAGAAGAGCACGCCCAGCTTGAACACGTCAGATGCCGCCCCCAGCGGGTGGAAGTTAGAGGAGCAACTCAGAGCCAACGCCACACTCACACCCCACCGTCACACCCCTCGCACGCCCCACTCTTCCACCACAATCTGCCAGCCAGCCTCACCTCAAAGAAGAGCCTCACCTCAAAGAAGAGCCTCACCTCAAAGAAGAGCACACCCAGCTTGAACACGTCAGACGCCGCCCCCACAGGGTCGCCCCTCGCCTCCTCCGGTGACGTGTACCACCGCGCCTCCTCCTCCTCCGCCCTCCCCCCTTCTCCCCCTGCCCCTCCACCTTCCCCTCCTCCTCCGCCTCCCCACTGCATGTCCCCTCCCCCTTGTCCTCCTGCCCCCGCCCCTCCAGCACTGGGGTTAAGGCGCTGCTGCCCCACCATGCCCCGCCCTGCTGCTGCTCGCTGTGTCCTCCCTCCCACTTGCGCCTGTGCCAGATGCCCCTGCCCCTGCCCCTGCGCCTGCCCCTGCGCCATCACCCCCTCCTCCTCCTGAAGCATCGCCTGCTGCCATGCCTCCGCCTGCTGCTCCCTCCATGCTGCTGCCCCCTCTGCTGCCCCTCTGCCCGCACCCCCCTCCTCTTCCTGCCGCCACCCATGCTGCTGCTGCTGCTGCCCCTCCTCCTCCTGTTGTCGCAGCCGCACCTGCCCTCCACCTCTCCCCAACCCCAATTCCCCTTCCCCAGCCTCCCCCTCCCCAACCTCCCGCTCCCCCGACCCCCCCGCTCGCGCCCGCAGGAACGGCGGGTGGTACACCACCCTTCGGTGCGCAGACAGGACAAAGCATGCCGGCCGCACGTGGCGCACCACGTGGCCCTGCGTGTGGGCGGCAGCGACCATGTCCACCACCTGCGCGAACAGAAACAGGCTCTCCAGCCGGTCCACCTCCCTGCCCGCCCGGTTCAGCCAGCGCCGCAGCGACAGCAAAGGTTGAGGCGCGGCTGATGATGAGTCGAGCCTGGGGGGAGGCATGGGGGGTGGCGAGGGGAGGTGCGGGGGCGGAGGAGAGGGGGTCGCAGCAGGGCGGACGGGGGGAGGGGGTGGGGGTTGAAGGGTGGCGGGCGCGGATGGTGTGTGGGGGAGGTGGGGAGGAGGGTGGCGGAGGAAGGGTGGTTGATGTGCGGAGGAGGGGGCGACGGTGGGTGGAGTGGCTGGGCCTCCATCTTTGCCTCTGCCAGACGCACCACCAGCAACAACAGCTGGTGGTGGTGGTGGTGGTGCTGCTGCTGCTGCTGCTGCTGCTGCTGCCCCACCTGCTGCTCCTCTCTCCACCATCCCAAGCGATTGCCTCAGCTGCTGCTGGGGGGGTGGCGGTGATGGCAGAGAGTCAAGGCGCTGCTGCTGCGGCAGGGGCTGTAGCCGCTGCTGCACCTGCCGGGGGCCAGCCATTGGCGCCTGCGGCCTGGCCACCCCTGCTGCCCCGCCTGCCCCTATTGGCCCTCCGCCACGACCAGTGCCCGCATCACCACCTGCAGCACCCACCCTCCCGCCGCCCCCAGCCCCAGCTGCGCCAGTGCCTGGCGCACTGCCGCCCTGTACTCTCCCTGCCGCCGCCATCCGTTGCTCTGCCTCCCCGCCTCCCACCTGCCTTCCTTCCCCCCTCCCCCCTCGTGCCACTCCACGTGCCCCACACACCACCGCCACCCGACTACCCTGCCCCGCCCTCCCCCGCCCTCCTCCCTCTCCCCTCCCCATCTCCTCCCTCCCCGTCTCCCGCGCCCTTCCCCCTCCCCCTCCCCCTCCCGCCCCCCCTCCCCCCGCCCCTCCGCCACTCCCCTCCGACTCCTCAGTATCGTCCAGAGAGCTCCCCGTGCGCTCCCCCGCGCCTACGCCCATGCCTCCCGCGCGGGGGGGCGCGCAGACGTTGGAGTTGCTGCGAAGCCCCTCCTCCGCGCGCCCCCCCAGCTGCTGCGTCGAGAACAGAAACGGCCCCGTTACAAGCACACGCTCTGAAGGTACAGCAGGCGCGGGTTGCCCCCCATGTGTTCCCCCGTGCCCCCCATGAGGCCCCCCATGCGCCAAGTGCGCCCCATGCGCCCCATGCGCCCCATGCGCCCCGTGCGCCCCGTGCGCCCCATGCGCCCCGTGCGTCCCGTGCGCCCCCCCTTCTCCCTCCCGCTCTGCCGAGCCTGTTTCTCCTGCCTCCTCCACAACACCACCCTCACCACCGCCCGCAGCACCAGCTACACCAACAGCGCCACCCACAGCAGCCCCAGCAGCAACACCCCCTTGCTGCGCCTGGCGCCGGATGTCCGCCTGCACAACCGGGTGGAACCACCCCTCTGCCGCCCGCCCGGGCTCACCCACCAATGGCCTTGCTGCACGTGCCCCCCCTGCCGCCCAGCCCTCTGCTGTCGCCGCCCACCCTTCCCCTGCCGCCCCTGCCGCCCCTGCCGCCCCCCACCCTGCTACAGCTGGATCGTTCAACACCTCCGCGCCCATGTCCGCTCCCCCGTCATCCAGCCCTTCTCCTTGCTCCCCCCCCGCTTCCCCCTCTTCCTCCGCCTCCTCCGCCCCCTCCGCCCCCACACAGTCCCATTCGCGCACGCCACCGCCAACACCCCTAACATCTGCGCGCGCAGTCCCCTCCCCTAGCACGCCCCGCCACCGTCCCCCTGCCGCCCACCCCTGCTCCGCCTCGCCTCTCGCGCCGCCTGTGGGGGAAACTGCGCGCACTGACGCAACTGGCGCTGCTGGCGCTGCTAACGACGGTGCTGCTGCTGCTGCACCTGGGGGCGAGATTATCCTGCCACCAGTATCTGCTGCATGCTGCCCCTGCTGTCCCTGTTGTCCCTGTTGCTGCCCGTGCTGCTGCCCCTGCTGCGCCACACGCCTTGCGACATTCATCCCTCCCCCCTGCTCCCCCCGCCGCCCAGCCGCCGCGCCAGCCACCGCCCACATCCTCTCCTGTCCCCCAACGCCCCCTGCGCCTGCCACACCCGCGCGCCCGTCCGCCCCCAGCACTCTCCCTCTCCCCCTGCCTCCCCCGGGCGTCCCCCTGTTAAGCTGCGCGCGCATGTCCCGCTGCAGCAGGCGCAAGTACTGGCGCTGCAGCTGGCGCTGCTGCTGCAGAAGGTCCACTCCGCCGTGCGCGCACTCTACGCCCTCCGCGCCTCCGCGCATGAGCAGCGAGTGCTGCGCCGCCGCCAGCATCTGCCTGTGCTGCTGCAGCAGCCGCTGCCGAATGCTCGCGCCCTCCCCCTCATCCACCCCCCCTACCTCCTCCCCTTCCTGCTCCCGCTCCTGCTCCTGCGCCTGCTCTTGCTCCTGTGCCTGCTCCTCCCCTTCTTCCTCCTCCCCTGGCTCCCCCTGTCCCCCCTGTTCCCCCTGTCCCTGCTCGCGCATCTGATCCTGCGTCGGCTTCCGCTCATCCTCCCCCGGCCATCCTTGCCCAGCCCCTTGACCCTCATATTGTAGTCTTCCCAACACCTCCGCACCTCCGCCCCTATCCTGCTCACCGCGCCATACCCCGCCAAACCCTATCTCACCCGCCGCCCCTGCAGCGCCCTCTCCTCCTTGCCGCTCCGTCCGCGCGCGCTTCCTGCGAGCCTCGTTGTCCTCTCCCCATTCCCCTACTCCCTCGTCCGCACCCGCCGGTCGCCATTGTGCTTCCGCCCCTCCGCCTTCCGCCCCACCGCCTGCCACGTGCGCGCCAAGCGCACCCTGCAGCACCGTGCCCATCAGTCTCACGCGCTCTCGCGCCAATCCGCCTTCCACCCCGCCACGGCTGGCGGAGGGCGGAGCTGGCGGGCGCATGAGGCGCGCGCGGGGGTCAGAGTCCGCGCCACCGCGGCCTTCCCCCGGCTGGAACTCTCTCACGTGCTGCTGCGACGGATCCACATCCATAGGTGCGTCAGGTGCAGCGTCAGGTGCAGCGTCAGGTGCCGTGTCAGGTGCCGCGTCAGGTGCTGCGTCAGGCTCTGCGTCAGGTGTCGTGTCAGGTACTTCACGTGCCACAAGTTGCTGTACTGCGTCAGTTCTGATCCCAACAGGTGCGTCCACTCCACCCTCACCCACTGGAGCGGATCGCCCACCGACGATCGTGAATACCCGTTCGCCCTCTGCCTCTCCTGCCGCCTCTCTTACGCCCGTACCCGCTCCTGCCGCAGCTGTGGCAAGCAGGAAGGCGGAAGCGGAAGCCGGAGTGGGAGAGGATCTGGGAGCGGGAGCGAGAGCGGTACCGGTAACGGAAGGCGGAGCGGAAGCGGGAGCGGACGGCGGAGCGGAAGCGGGAGCGGAAGCGGGAGCGGAAGCTGTAGCAGCGGCGGCGGCGGCAGCGAGATCGTGCTGCTGCTGGCGGCGCCACTGGCTGAGCAGAACCTCTTGCTGCTGCTGCCGCTGGCACCTGCTGCGCTGCTGCTCGCGCTGCACGTGCTGCCGCAGCAGCTGCCGCGATAGCGACCCCTCGCGCGGAGCTACGTGGCTGATGTTGCGCACCCGGCGGGGCAGCGGCGGGCTAATGCGGCGCGCGGGGGGGGCGGGCGGCGGAGCAGAAGGGAGCGGCGCGGGGGAGAGCGTGGAGGTGGCGGAAACTAAGTGAAGCGCGGTGCCATGGGTGTCGGCGGGGAGACATGACGGGTTGTCGGACGGCGGGGAGGGGGACTTGGGGAAGGACGGGCCGGGGAGGTTGCGCAGGGACTGGAGGAGGGTGTTTGGCACGGGTGGAGGTTTCCCCGCGGGAGGCAATTGCGCGGCGGGGGGAGCCAGAAGAGTGACTGGGCGGAGGGAGGAGGATGGGGGGCCGGGGACGGCGGGGGAGGCGGGTCGAGTGGGGGAATTGGCGGATGGCGGGGTGGGCGATCGGGACGAAGGCATGTGCTCGGCGCGCGCGCGCGCGAGGAAATCGGTCAGAGGGCCGCTGCGGCCCTCGATCGGCTGCGAGAGGCGAAGGAGTCGAGGGACGTTTTTTTAAGGCCAATTAGTGGGTCGCTTGTAGCGATTCGCGTCGTTCAACCTGCCAGCATCGAAGTATGCGGCGGGGCTTTCACTGGAACATGCCACTGTTACCTACAACGTGACCGCCAGCAGATAATCGAACGACAAGTCAGACTTGGGAGTAGTTTCAGTGATGCATCCTACCGAGGCTACCGATACGGCTCCAACCGGCGGTTCTTCGTTAACAACATTATAACTTCTCAGCCAAATAATTGTTCGTTTCTTTCGCCAGCGATAACTGCGCAGGGTTCCCGGTTGGTGTCGGTAAATTTTACAGGCAAGCTGAGTGTAAGCGAGGGAGACGCGTGACAGAGAAGAATGGCTCGTGATACCAATCTGAGGTAGCTACTATGCGTCATAGCTTGCGACACACACACACAAACCCTGACATCACATTGCGACTTCGCAATTATTCCATTCTGTATGAGAAGATATTAGTTGGAAATTGGGACAATGGACACCTTACAAACCTAACCCTAAAAAACGGTTCCTGGATCTCAATGAAGGAACAATCAAGAGACGTGGCAGTGAGGAGCCACTTCTTGAATCCGTGGTTGCTGCTGGTGCTGCTGATTCCGTTGGTTGGGACAAGCAAGCAAAACCCTTCACTCACTCGTGCCAGCTTCTGCTGCTCATTCAAGTGTGGCGCTCGCAGCCATGTCTTTGGTTCCGTAACATGAACCAAATCCCTCCAGCCCTAGTGGGTGGTGGTGGTGGATACACCCACCGACGAATCTTTCGCTCAGGGCCACGTATCGATCTGACGCTCCAGTGTTCCGCCACAATTCACATTCTCATGCTGCCACGCGGCCTTCCCTCAAACCTCAAAAATTGCACCTAGGAGTTGCCTATCATGAGCCTTTAAAAGTTTGCGAATTATACTGGCAGATACTACATTCCTTTCAAACTTCCAGCCTAACGACCGACAACCAGGTCCCTAGATTTCTGACGATCTGATCTCCACCGGGTACCTTCGTGGTGTCCTCCTGACCTGATGCCGACCTGGACCCCAGAATCAGACTAGCTTGAAGTACCCTATCAAAATGGTACAGAATCTGAAAACTAGCCCAAGCCCCACTTCCAAACCTGACCCCAACTCTGAAGGACTTTTATGTTTACCCTAATCTTCAGATCTTAGCTGCTGTGTGACGAAAAAGAACAAGAAACCCTGCCGTAAAGGCACTGCTTCACGAATCTGATATTTCTCCCTCGCGTGCGAAATCATATCGCAGGACTTTTGTGGGGCTCTGTTTCGAAGCCATCGTGTGGCTGGGAACGGATGTACTCTATACCCAATAACAACGGTAGCTTCCGGCAATCATATTTCCACCTGATATAATATTTATCAGGCAATATATAAGTATTCGTTGCCTTTTGAAAAATAAACCTCAAGAATTCTTACCAAAGCTGATATAGAAACAAATTATTTAAAATATCTTTCAGCCGCCCTAGCTCAGTCGGTAGAGCGCAAGGCTCTTAACCTTGTGGTCGTGGGTTCGAGCCCCACGGGCGGCGTATTCAGACTACATATCAACCCAGTCTGTTCACTATGGTCTGCTTTTGGGTGCGTTGAGTGCACTCCTAACCACTATTAATGGATTTTTGTGAGAATATCCCTTGTTCTGGTAAGTGCTACCGGTAGCTGCTTTTGGCAGCACCGTTATACTGAGCCACGTGATTGGTCAGACAGTGTTGACTCTAGTCTCTATCCAGGCGTGTTGCACAGCAGACGATCCACCCCTCCATCCAACAGGTTCAGTAGACATCAGGGTCCTCCATATGTTTGACCACGAGGACCAAGCCGGACCCTGCTGCCGCACCCTGCCGCACCCTGCTGCACCCTGCCGCACCCTGCCGCACCCTGCCGCACCCTGCCGCACCCTGCTGCACCCTGCCGCACCCTGCCGCACCCTGCCGCACCCTGCCGTACCCTGCTTGACCATGCTGCACCCTCCTTGACCCTGCTTGACCCTGCCGCACCCTGTCGCACCCTGCCGCACCCTGCCGTACCCTACTTGACCCTGCTGGGCGCAACTCTGTGCATTCCTCTCGAAAGTGCCAGACTGCCACCGCTTCACCGTGTGCACTGCCTTCACCGTGTGCACTGCCTTCACCTTGTGCACTGCCTTCACCTTTGCTTGCTCCACATGAGGGACTTGAGGCAAGACATTGCACACAACATGCAGATTTGACACGGCACAGCCGGGTTCATGTGCGGGCAGCTGGAATTAGAAAAGGTAATGCAGTTTACAACCTATCTCCAACTCTCCCTCTCCTGCAGCCAATCCCAAGGCTCTTCCTCCTCTCCCCTGCCTGTGCCTGCACCCGTTCCCACTGCTGGTCCTCCATGAACAGTGCCACTGCCGCCCGCACGTCGCCGCCCGCCTCGCCCAGGTAGTACTGCGCCGTTGGCTCGTCCACCTGAAGGGCCCTCTGCAACAGAGAAACCACCTGCGCAGTGCCGTGTGCTGCCGAGGGTCTGAAGGAGGGAGGGCGTGTGCGGAGGGGAACAGGTGGAGTAGCACAGGAGAGCAACCTGACAATCAATCTGCGCAGTTTCACGTGCGGACGTGCGGCCAAGGGTCAGAGGGAGAGAGTGTGAGGAGCAGATGGAGTAGCAGGGGGGAAAGGGG